ATACTAATAAGGCAGCTGACAAGCCATTCTGGACTGGCTGAATGTGCCTAAGGCCTTAAAAACAGACTGACACAAATTAAGAAGGGCATTATGACCTGTAAAAACATTAAATCATACTGTTGCATCAAAGTGAGGACCATGAAAAGAGTTACAAGAGAAGATACACCTAATTCCCAATTGCCCTATTAAACATCATGATCTTGGATTACAGTGATAAAAGAGTGTCTGGTATCATTTGTTTCTAAAACAATAGAAACATCTGTAAGGCGGGTAGAATAGTTTTTACCTGCCGTGGCAATATAATTATCAACAGAAACCTAAAGTATGATTTCACAGAGAAAATGACTTATTATAAACTGGGCTGATTCATTTACCAGGTCAAACATATTTTAACTTTATTATTTTTTGCACCCTCAAATGATTTCAAAAACATGTTTAGATCTGAACTGAAATTATTTACCTTGATTTATACTCTGGATAAACTAAGGTTAACTTTAGAGAATAATGTCTGGTATGGGGGGGGGGGAATTGTTCAATATCTGAAATACTGAGAGACTCAAAGACGGGCAAGGGAAACTTATTTTAAAAGATTGCAGTTCAAGGGAATGCAAAAATCACACATAAATTTCAGTGGAAATAGTATGCTTCTAAACAACAGCTCATGGCAGATGCAGCAGCAAGCTAGTTAAAAAAAAAGGAAGAATACTTTTAACAATCAGATTGCATAGCCAAGAAGGCAATAAAGTAATAATGGTCCACTTCATTAGCACTTTGTCAGATTTACTACATGCTTGCTTTGTCATAGCTTTGGAAAATGCCATGTAGGTTACCAAGTTCAAACCCTGGTTTAGGGTAGGCATTCAAAATAAGTCATCCCAGCAAATAGCTGTCTGGCTTCTACCTGACCACATCAAATGAAGAGAAGCCCACCACCGCTCTAGATAATTGATTCAATGGTTGACCTGTTCTTACTGTTAGGATTTTTTCCCCTTGTTCCTGCACTTAAAATCCATCTTTTTATTACTTGAATTCATTAATCCTTTTCCTGTATTGAAATAGTTCATTTTGCTGTTGCCAGCACTGTCTCAAGGATAGGTATATCAAGTTCATCAAAATAGCAGATAAAATAACACCACACAAAGCTTTAAGTGCCATGTGGACCCTCATTTCAGTTAATTCCTGTGGTACAGGATGAAAAACAATCTATTCAAGATCTTCAGCCTCTGAATTTGAAGCCATAGACTGATGCATCATACAATTTAAGGCCCTTTTAGTCTTCAATTCCAACACTATCCCCAAAATGGCATGGCTATATAGAAATTGAAATGACAAATCATGCAAGCAGCTGACAGTGTTTTGTCTATATTACAAAATAAACGAACAAAAAGAATACTATGCAGTATCCTCAAGTGTTCAAATCAATATTTAATAGAAATACTGGCTCTCTACTGCTAAAATTGTCACTGACAACACTAGTAGCAAAAAGAGTCTTGAATAAATCATTACAGAGAGTCAAATATAAAGATTCCACTGAAAATAGATATCAATTGATGATAAATAGAATATATACTAATCTCATGTGCTATCTTGTTGGATACTTGTTGGGTTTGGTTTAATGCTTTTTATATCTGCAGTGGAACATGGAGGTTGGTCGCAATTGTATGCATGGGAGGCATGTGATTTTTAATATGTTGGGCTACTATTTTTTCTAAAGGACCATCATTAATCCATTTCTATTACTGGAAGCATAAATTGTCTATGCAATCTGAATAGCCTTATGCCAGCCTAGGATAGTAAGTCAGCTATGCATTTATAGGGCAGAGAAACTTCTTCCTCAGTTATTTGTGCTCTGATAATCACAGGGACTGGGCTATCTTTCAAAAGATTATGGACGTGTCAATTAGTTTTGAGTAGAACTGAGAGACCATAAACCAAGTATGGGTGAAATGAATAAACCTCATCATTCTTGCCATCCTCAAGGTCTCCTAGTTGATTTCCCTGTGTAATTCAATAGGTAGGTAGTAACCTTTACATTTTTTTCATAGGTTAGGACAAAGTATTTATAAGGTCATCTCTGTTCACAGGCATAAGCTTTATATTTTGTTCTGATTTCCACTGAAATATCTATAGGCTGGCAATAAAAACTGTAAGTAGTGAATTGCTATTCATAAATAAGACAGCAGTATGAAGGCGGAATGATTGAAAAAGAAAAAAAAAAGGTGTGTGTGTGGAGGCAAATAATTTGCCCAGGTAGGATAGGCTAAACATTGCACTTCATATAAAGTGTATGTGAAGGCTTTGAGGTACTTCAAAAGCAAAAGGTACTTTTGTAAATTTCGCACCTTTCTATATCTCCTTAAACCAAGTACATCTTTCCTTAGGGGTACAAGATCATAAGAAAAGGCACAACTACTTTTAAGAGTTGAAGACAGATGCTACATTCATGCCCTGAAACAATTTTTTGCCTTCAAATCTGATTTTATGCATACTCTTAACACATACTATCAGTACATACTATCAATGCCACACTAATGTTCACCAGAAAATAAGGACATAAATGATATAATTAATTCACAGAAAGGAACCATTTATAATGTTACTTTGACTATTTGTACAGCATACCTTAAATATTCACAAAGCAATGTCAGTTGGGAGTTTGTTTTGAAATGCACCCACATTCAATATATACTTTGAACAATTTTTAAATATTATATTTACATTTATTTGAGGTATAGACTAAAAACTAAAGAAAATTGTGCAAAAGTAGGATTTAACCAGAGATTATTTTAAAAGTTCATTCCAAGTGGCAGTGACATCAAAACATATGGATAGAGCATTTGTCTGCCTATCGAACAGATATTTGTACTAAAAAGAACTTGGTTAGAGAATGAAGAATATTAAAGGGATCCACCATTCACCACCATTCATTTGAGAAACTGAAATACATCTGTAATGTCTAAATAGGATAAATGATTAGCCCAGCATAATGGCTTGGAGGGAAGTTTGCAACCTGAGGTCCTAGATCTCTACAAATTTTGACTATGACCTCCAAAGACCTCCAGAACATTATTAAATTGTGTTTTTGTAAAGGTATTTAGTTATGGCTAAATGGCAGTTACAGTTTTCATTGCCATGAATAAGTAGTAATTACATTAAATATATTTAATTTTTATTAAATAAAATGTAAATGACATGAAATTAGATTTAGTCCTAGCTATATCCACCACTGTTATGCAATGTTATCTCACAAAAAGCAGATCACCAGCTAAGTGGAGTCTAAAGCCTAAAAAAGTTGGGCATCTGTCTTATCCCTAGAGACTATGAAAACCAGCATTATTTATATGTAAAAGCTAAAATGTTAAATTCCTGGTATTCAAAGAGGGCATTTTGAAAATATACTAGGAATTGTATCATTTACAAAAATAATATGCATACAACGCTCAACTTGAGTTTCCTTTGTCTACTCCAACATTCAGAATGTCTAGGAGATCTCACATTATAGTTAATGAGTAGCACCCATCCAAAGCTATCTTTCCTGATTTATAATTGTTGGTAAAGTACATCATCTAAAGAATATTATTTATTTAGAGATCTTAAATCTTGCATTCCTTATTTTTACTGATTTATATCATTTTACAGCATTTCTCTGGCTCATTTTAAATAAAGGATAAAGAGCAATTGACAGACTAAATAAAACATAAAACCATTCAATAAAAAAGACACTCAAACATAATAGAAAAACAAAACTCTCAACAACTTCCGATGACGTAATTTTTTTTTTTAAAAAAAGCCTGGTCCATAATCAGTCCTCAAGGAAGATGCTGAGGGTTTATAGCAGGGATGCTTTTCTTTAAAATGCATATTACTAGTCCCTTTCCATGATTACTTACCAAACATAGTTTTTTTAATAAACTATATTTAGATCAGAGACTTTGAAGAAGCTATTAAAGCATGGATAGCTTAATTCCTTTTCAGGAAATTAAGACTTGATGGAATAAAAGCAGTCGATTTAAAACTTGGCCTAAACATTGACTAGAAGCTAGTGCATCAGTTCAAGTATGGATATGAAGTAGTTAAATGATCCTGCCTCATCAATACTTTGATGGCCCTATTCAGAATCAGCAAACATTTCTGAAATCTCCCACTCACAAAACACAGTGCAATATTCTGAACAGAAGGTTGTCAAACTATCCAGCTTGGTAGTAAAAGGTCCTTTCAACCTAAAAAGGCATCTGAACACCTAAGCACAATGCTGGATCAATAACCCACATCAGATAACAATCTTAATACATTGGGGGAGTATACATCTCTCAAAAATATGCTGTAAGCAGCTTATGGATATAAGAATTTTTAAAAGGCGCACACTCCATAAGCTAATAGTTGAATAATGGAAATTAATAAAAACTCAGCATTAAAATTATAACAGAAAAATAGCAAAGACATTCGAACAAAGCTGGAATCACCTGATTCCAAAAAATACAACTTTGGAGAATGAAATGATTTTGAGGTTCCTCCAAAAATGTGACATCACTAGAAAAGTAATGGATTATTACATTATTACATTGACATTACAGCCCACTGAAATCAACTCAAAGTGACACCTAACTTAAAGTTCATTTATTTCAATAGAAACTATATACCATTTAATCTAGATCTAGTTCTGTAACTCCAAACTTTCTGGGGTTGCTAAGGGAATCTGCAAGCTTTAGCTTTAGATTTTGAAGACATCATTGTTCTCCTGTTGTTACACATACACAGAGAGAGAGGGGGGGAGGGGAGGGAGAGGGAGAGAGAGAAAGAGAAAGAGAAAGAGAAAGAGAAAGAGAGAGATCATGACACAATCTAGTCTTTGTTAGATATAAATGAAACTTTCACCTTTCAACTAATTAAATAAGAAACAGTTTAGTACCATAATACTCACAATCTAAAATACATTAGAGCTACTATAAAATTGAATATGGAAGAAATTCATAGAAGAGTAACAATATTATTTTAAATACCATGACTGTTGCACCGGGATGTTTCAACAAGTCTATTGCTTTGATCATAACAAGCCATGGCTTGATAACGGTAGCCTTGTCCACACTCTTTGATGTCTCCTTGAACTTTCATTCCCATAAGTATGTCCACTTTGCCTTCAGGTAATATACAGTCTGACCAGTTCCCAACTGGTTGGGCATTGTATTTGTCACATTGGCAGAATTGGGTCTCAATGAGTGGATACAGTTGAGGATTTTTACATTTCTCTTTCTTCTTACTCTTCCCTGAAAGAGAGAGAGAGAGAGTTTCAGAAAGCGTTTTCTTGACTCTGATATAAAATTTGGTTCATACCCTAAATGAGTGTATGTGGGAAAATACATTGCTGACTGGACAGGTTGAATATATTTACTTTGAAGTATAACAGGTTATCAAGTTGTAAAACAATAATAAAACACTTTTCCCCCAAAGTCAATATAAAACATTGAAATTGATGGGGGAGAAATCATATCTGTTAGGTCAGGTCTACTTTTCTCAACTTAGCAAGTCTCAGTATAAATGCCAGTTCAGCTTTCATATCTGCAACCAAATGGATAGTGATGAACTTACTATAGAATAGCATAACAGAGTTGGAAGGGACCTTGGAGGTCTTCTAGTGCAACCTCTGGGCAAAATCATCAGACTGGAGAGATTGCAAGCCATGTCACTTTATGCATAAGATGTATACACAATGAGCTGTGTGTAAATTTTAACTATAAAGTACCTATATTAAGTTTTAATGTTAATTCTGATACACATATTTGAAATTTAGAATAATTTGAGGCCTTTTGTATGAATTTTCAAGAATGGAGAATAATTAATAATATCATTGATGAGGAATAATGGATGGTCTCAAAAATAAATGTTTCTTAGCAATATTCCTTCCATTTATAATGTGATCAATTGAACTTCCGATGAAAGATATATTTTGTTGTCTGTGCCACATTTCCTTTAGCCTTAATTAGCTACTCAACATTCCAACTTAATCTACAATTCCATGATCCTGTGCCTTGTGTGAGTATTCACATAAATACAAAACTGTTGTTTGTTGTTTTCTGCTTATTGGTATTGGTTTTCATCACTTCTACAGCAGTTGTGGCAAAAAATATCTTTAAATTGTGTGTTTATGTCAATTTTTTCTCATCTAAATCTAAGTATTAAATCACTTTTCACTTTATTGCCATTTTTACTGTGACACACATGTAATATTTTTGAATATACTAATTTTATGTGATGTAAAAAGATTCAGCTTGAAAAGTCAGCATTATTAGGTTTGCTAGTATGCAAGAGGATGAGTAAATATACCATTGGTAATCTTAGCTTTGATTAAATTTGAAAGTTCTTTAAAACGAACAATCAACATATTTTGTAGAAAGCATCCTGGGCTATTAATTGATCAGCCTTTAGTTTGGATTACTGAATAATGCCAAATTCTCTAGCAGAAATATTTCTTTCACATTGCTTTATTTTGCAGTTTGGATTATGTAGGATAAAACATATAAGGAACGGTTGCTGGAATTGGGTATGTCTAGTTTAACGAAGAGAATGACGAAGGGGGACATGATAGCAGTGTTCCAATATCTCAGGGGCTGCCACAAAGAAGAGGGAGTCAAGCTATTTTCCAAAGCGCCTGAAGGCAGGACAAGAAGCAACGGGTGGAAACTAACCAAAGAGAGAAGCAACCTAGAACTAAGGAGAAACTTCCTGACAGTTAGAACAATTAACCAGTGGAACAACCTGCCTCCAGAAGCG